GTCAAGCTTCTCGCAAGAATGCCTCAGCCAAGGAAAAACCACAGAGCGGAGATAGTTAACGGGAAGCTATTTATCTTGGGTGGAACAACAGACCAGGGTAAAGATGCCACTGATAGTGTTGTTGTCTATGATTTCATCAACAACGAGATCAAGCCATGTCTATCGTTACCCGAGCCTACCTGGCTTATGTCCACAGTTATTTGGGGCAATACAATTATTGTTGTCGGCGGGGTGGATAAGAATGACCAGGATCTAGATGACGTCATCATGTATCACACTGAGACAGGCCAAAGTGACAGATTACCTTCACTGATACACAAGAGGTATGGTTCGTCAGCAGTAATTATGCATGACGTCATCATTGTATTGGGCGGACACAGTGATAACGAGGGATATCTCAACTCAGTAGAGAGTTTCACAATGAGAGAAGATCAGTGGAAAGAATTGCCAGGAATGAAAGAGAAAAGACATCGCGCAACTGCTGTATTGAAACCTCGCAACTAGTTTTTAAAGAAATGTTTTACATCATACAGGGACGGATCTAGGGGTCGTCAAACCAGTCACGCGACTAACGTAAAAATTGCAAACTTAATTAAAGTCTTAAATATTCGACCAATAATCCAGTTATTTTTTATCATGCAGCGACACCTTATAATAGTCCAGTATCTATTATCATGCAGCGCTAGAAATTAACATTCCAATGGAACTGTAGTCCAGTGATCAAATTTCATACAGTGGTTGAGCCGACGAGCTTAGTCAAGTCAATGAGCAGCTGACATACGCAAAGTCGGTCAGTCAGAAAGTCAAAATCCAGTGTTCTGATTGGTCTAGACGCTTATTGCCATGGAAACAAGCGATTTTTTTTCGATTTTGACTGATCTGTGGGGAGTTCTGACCGATTTACAAAAGTCAGGGGCGCCCCATTAGTTGGAATATCATTAATATTTGACGCGAGGTAAAGTCCTTCCGAGCGCGCGCTCATTCGAAGTGTCATGTTGGAGCTTTGTCAAAAGATTCGTGAAAGATTTCTAGGGAAAATTCGAAAATTCCTGCCGCTCCAGTCCTTGTAGTATTCACGAAACGGTCCAATCCGCATTTGCCGTGAATGATTTAGCTGTCTTACAAGACTGTTGCGCTGATCTTGGGAGGAAAATCAACGCTAAGTATCGGAGAGTTCCATTCAGTGAGCAGTTGCTAAGGGCCACGAATAGCACGAACTACAGTTTGACTGTTTGAGTAGAAGTATTGTAAATTATAAATGTGACATGTAAATTTTATTTCGTTTTAGATAGCATAACAATATTTATAAGCGAACAAGATGCGCGCCATTGATATGTAAAATTGTAACTTGAATACGCGTATCTTGATTTAGATTTAGCTATGGATTTGATTTACACTACAAATTTGCATATTTGTAATTCTGCTGTTGAAGGACCATCAGAACTCAGAAGGCTATTAATATGGAGGATAACCTATATAAATGCATTAATGCAGTATACATAGAATATAAAGGTCAGGTTTTATAGATGAATGTTAAGACTTTAATATTGATATATGTTTATTTGAGTAATATGACACTGTAGTGATTACTAGTCAAGTGATCAATGACTCAACAAGGCTATTAGGCAACAAAAATGAGTGTAGTACTATCATGAGATAGTTAAACATAATACTAGCAATCCGTAATTTGATAAAATGAAACATCTTCCACAATTATCACATTTCTGCAAGTACTTCTCCTTTACTTTTCCCTAAGGAGCGAGTTGTGAGAGTCAGTCAGACTGATAGTTGCTATAATTATCTCCCATTTCATGAAGTTAATTTTTTGTTGAAGCTGCTTTCAGAGTGATGCAAATTGCGTTTCTGAGGTTTAAAAATATAAAAATTCCTGTGGGACAGACCCCCCTAGGTGCCTCGCGCATTCGCCGCTCGCAAAACTAGATTGTACATCCGAAAACTTTGACTAACGTACGAAAAATCCTGGATCCGCCCCTGACATCATACATTTTAAATCAACATTTTCGAGGTTTTATAATCATATGAACAAAAAACTTAATATTGTAATCTTTACCTTTTATAACTTAATAAAATATTGTGGAATTAGTGTAAAATCAGTGTACATATAGTAACATAGAGTAGACTGTGGGAAGTATGGTATGTAAATGTTTAGCGAAGCTCGTTAGATAACGGACAATTCGTTTGAGCTAAACGTTTGAGCTAAACGTAATGTTTCAGCTAAACTCTCAACAAAGCAGACTTTATGAAACAAAACTTGATCTATAACATCGACTTCAACCAACACATCTGTGGAACTAGAAAAACTGTTTTGCCTAATGTATATGTCTTTGTCACTGCTCATCCATGGGACCATGTCTTTCTCCCACTATAATTAAATAGTGCTCTACAATTCACACACGTATTACTTAAAGTACACATAAAACACTGTTTCAAGTCGCTATATACTGTAAATGAGTTACCACTTGGAAAAACAAAACTAGCTAGAACAAACGAATACAAAGGCAAGCATTGTAACGAAATCTATCTCTTGTTTGCAGAACTCATACTTTTCTACAGTATAAGGTTTATAAAAAATTGTAGATTCATCTCTAAGATTGCATTTTCGATCCTCCGTAATAGTTCGTTCTGTAAAAACTGGAGCATTGGTACCGATATTAAGACTAATTTATGAAATTCAGAAATGAACGTCAAAATAAGAACTATGTTTGTTATATGACAATCGAACTTGACAATTTGCATGTTATGTTAAATATAGGTAGTTTGGAATACATATAATTATATTAAAAGTTGTTCTTAACTATTTTTTAGAAATATT